TTACTTAATGGAATAAATATGATAAATTAAGATTATATGAAATGTTCACATGCTCTCTCTCTCTCTCTCTTTTTCTCTCGTGCGACAGTCGTATATAAAATGTCTTCTCGTTACGATATTATACGTAACAAATTCTCCCTTTAAAAATATCTAGTTTATCAGTACAAAATGCAATAGTTACAATTGCATCGGAAGGATTCGAGGGATCAAATATGTGCCAAGTTTTCCGCAGCCATCGGCGGAAGAATGTCATAACGTGGCAGTTGCAGCCGCTGGCGAATCCAGGTCGCGTCGCACGCGATTCCCAGGGAACTCAAGGCGAAACTCTTCGGAAGCCGATACCGTCGTCCTCGGTTTTCGGATTTCGCGGTCCGCGACCGCATTCATTAGCGGACTCGAAATTGCGGCGATCCGCGCGAATGTGACTATGTCAGATTGGCTGTGATAGCATCGGAGAAGTTGGTAGCGCAGAGATAGGATAGCGCTCGGTGGATATCGCGGGGATTTTCCAGGCACGCCGGGATCGAGGTTGCAAACCCCCAGCTACAGGAACAGAACAGTAGGGAGGGGGTGGCACTGACACCACGACCTACATACAGGCCATTGTGCTCCATACCGTATATCCCAGTCGGTTGCGTCATCGGACGGCACAGCCGCAATGTCGAGTCCGGATTTCGGACTCGAAGGCAGGGCAAAGGCGATCACCGATCCCTGGACGCGAGTCCCGTCCCGTTGTTCGGGGGTGGTTATATAGCGACGAGAAATTCGATTGTGACTCTTGGAGCAAAACTCGTAGATTTAAAGTCACAACTGTAAACGAAGGGTCGATTTCACGTAGATATATTTCTCTTTAAAGACACCTCTCATAATTTTTCTTCCATCTCGACTGCTAAGTTAGAGTTCTTGCTTTACGATGAATAACAAAATATTACGGATAAATTTTGCACGCAACGAATACAAATCTACATATAAATTCTGGAATAAATTCTTAAATTAGTTTAATTCTTTTATTTTATTATTAGTAATATGTAATAATAAAATAAATTAATATTTTTGGCCATTTCATATAGTAGGAAATTGGATATAAATTTTGGTACAAACGACGTAAATCTACTTATATTTTAAAACAAATTCTCAAATAATCTAATTAATTAATATCAAATAAATAATTACTTTTTCATATAACCATAAATTTGTTTTTTTTTCTTTTGTAACAAACTGTCTGCGATATGAATATTGTGTCGCTACAAGACCAAGAAAATAAAGGCTGCAATCTCTCTGTTACGAGATATTGGAAATTGTATGAAATCTACATATTTATTGTAAGAAATTAGTTTGTTTCCCATAATATTGAGCGTTTCGCGGAGTTCTGCCGCATTCTCCGTGGCGATCCTTTATTAAAATACTCGCTGTTTTGTTATGCAATCTCGCCAACACTTTTCGGCATCGTACTTTCAAATGAAATAATGAGTGAGGGAGATTGTACATCCGAGCCGCAACTGCATTCTACTGCTCGGCGTGCTGTATAATCGAGTTGCGTCATCGGCCGATGGCGCAGCTGCAATGTCGAGCCCGGATTCCGGCCTGGGCACAGCAAACTTGGCTCTTGATCGTTTTCAAGTGGCGCATGCTCGGCACAGTACGATAGAATCGTTCTTTTTTTCATAGATGCTATTTTTTTCGCCGCTTTCGCGTAGCGAAAGTTAAGTGGCTTAATGAGAGCAAAGTGTCGAATAACTGTTCCGATTTATTTAAATTTTGGCATTTAAATAAATCGAAAGAAAGAAGCTCTGTTTTGTGTGTGCGTGTGTCAATAAATTGCGTTGCACAGGCGTTAAAAGTTTAAGCATCGCACCGAACGATCAATAGAGAGAACACGGAGTATGCAGATTAAAATTATCAATATAATATCTTCCCTTACAATACCCTTACTCAAACAACAAGATAATTTTAAAATTTTAAAAGGCAAAATAAAATTCTGTTAAAATATTATTATTATTATTATATTGGGATGATGAAATAGAGAGAGAGTATGCAATTTCACTAAGAATGAATAACTTCTGAAAAAACGCATAAAAATTTTTTTTTTTTCTACGAAACAAATATGCCTGGCTCTTTTTTTACCGGCAGACAGCATCGAACAAAGAAACCTTATACAGAATATTAAAAAAGTAATTTAGACCTCGATGTGTCACAGGCGCACACACAGAGTTGCACATAAAATGTATCATTAAAGTTAAAATGAAAGAGTTACGGAATACATTTTCTGTTCTGACTTCATCACTCATCGTCGCAGAATCGCTCCAGTCGTGCGAGCGTCGACGATAAACGCGCATGGGTGTGTGAGAGAAAAAAAGTATAATATATTCAATATTGAAATTTTATTGCGCCGTGCGCGTCGCTAACGACGGTGGAGAAGTGCCGGCTCTCCGGATACATTTCCAGGGCGCCGCGAGACTCTTGCACGGCAGGTCGCGTCATTTACCCTTTGTAATTGAATGCGGAACACAACGTGAATATTCCGGGAGGACACATGACACAGCAACGCAAAATCTCTAAATTTATGCAGATTGCACGCGCAAACGCGTGCACTCTATTTTGCACGTGCGTGCATCACGCGTGAATGCGATCCGCGCGACGAGAAACAATCGGGAAAGCGTTGAGTGCTCGGCGCGTACTGCTTTTCCGAGATTTCCATCCCGTTCGTTGAACAACGATCTCTAAATTAAGCCGCGACAATCTGGCTAGAGCAATTAAAAGCAAACAGTTTTACAGCTTATCTTATTTTCTCTTTTAATTTGGCGTGCTTAATCGTTATACGCGTTTTTGTTAATAGCACTTTATTATTGCGTCGCTAGATCAGCAAATTCAGCAAGTGCATGGTAAAATACGTCGCATATACAGAATATTCTATCGAGCCAACGTAAATTTCCGATGCATCTATCATGGGAGTCGCAAGCGTTACGCACATGTAACGCATGTGATGCCGACAGGGATATTAACTTCAGACATAAATGCATATTTCTTCGTTTGTTGATTAAGTTCAAACGTACTGACATATTGTCAAGTCGACTACGATGAACAAAAATATATATATTTTAGCGTTCTTCAAATTTATAATAAGAATTATGATGCGCACTGTTCCTGGAACTTCTTTATTTATATTGTTATATTAATTTTCGAGAATAAATTTTTTGAAGGATTAGTAATGCTGCTTACCTTTAATCGGCTATCGGTATTTCACAAACACGTTGATATAATTGATGGAAAATATTTTTATCGAGACAAGAATTTTTAATATGCGACTATCTTTAATATTCGATAACTTTTAACTGTAATTTTAATAACGTAATTTAAGTAGATATGTAGATAAATAGATATGAAAATTTTTCTAAAAACGCATACAAATATATAAATATTCATGAAAAAATTAAATTATTTAAAAAATTAATAATGTAGCCATTTGAAATAAATGTTACAAAATAAACATGATATATGCAGAAAGAGAGATACAAAAGAAGCAAGAACTATTAATTTTAACAACTCCTATTAAAATGCAAAACCTGATTTAATTGCCAAAAATGACTTAATTTGCAACAGACGATTGAAAAGAGCGTTTAAATGAACATAGAGATTGTTTCATAGGGATTATATCATTGATTTCGATACTTAATCAAATTGTACATGGATCAATTTCTATTCCAAATACACGCGAGCTGCACATTGTTTCAAAGCAGTGAATAACTTGAATTAATAGAACACGGAATCGTCGATCCGATAAAACGGATATGCCCCATTTGAACCTTGCCACCATTTGTGTTCCAGCTCTAAAGTTTGTCGAAACTCCCGGTTTTCCAGTTAAATGCTAAGTTTGTTAGCAGCCGCATCAGCGATCTTAATTTCTGAGTTTAGGATAATATGATGATGGAAACTTTTGTCAAACGAGCTAATTTATATATTGTATAAATGCAGACACGCTTTAAATTATATACGTGTATTCTCGGCATTATCGCAGTATGTGAAAATTTGAAGTATTGTATATTACATATAAAATTTACGTTCCCAAAATTCTAATTCAAATGAAATGTTTTTATGAAGTAAACATTATTATACAAAAATAGTATAATAGCATTTTTCCGATACCTTTTAGGTGAATAGATTCTATAAAATCTACTTTATGCGTTATCAAAATCATTAGTAATATCGTTAGTTGCCATCATTTCTCGGAAATCGACGTGACAGTATAAATAGAAAAGTTTTAAAAACAATGCACGTCATACTTTATCATGAATGTGAAGAACACAATGATATTCTTGTGCGTCGTAGTTGGCTTGACAATATGTCATTGTGCTGGAACTCAATCAACGAACACCGAAGGAAATGTCACGTATATAAATTACACTGACGACGATTCTGTCGGATATGAAACGGTTGAAAGTAATTACAATAGTAAGTATAATACAACAAAGAGACTTAGATATATAAAAAGTCTCTTTGTTAAATAATTTAAATTGTTTTTACCAATTACACAATTTTACCAATTTACATAAGAGATCGCGCTAATTTGATAATATGATATTTTGACGCACAATTTACTCTTGAAAAATATATATGCATTACTTTCTAATTTAGAATATATTTTTAATTATATCAGCTTCGTATTAATGTGTGCTATCATTTTTCTTAAATAATATATATATACATAT